TACAAAATATTTTTCTAATCTGGCATAAATCCTAGTAAAATCCAGATACAGAAATGGATCATGACCTCCAAGTTTGCCAAGATTGTGTGCTGCTTAAGCTGGTATACATGTTGATGAAAGGTTAATAGATGAACCCTTTTTGGTTAACTGCATTCACACCCTTCCACGAAGGTTTCAAACTCCTTTTTCAACCAACCTATTCTCAGGAGCTTTAAGAACACCACGATCCATCAAAGGCTGAAGCTCAGGCTTTGCCAAGTCTTTAACCTCTGAAATCGATGATTCCAGGAATGCGAGAAGCACCTTGCAACTGCAATAGACATCCAAATAATCCAATGTGAAACACAGATATTTGTACACAAACACCATTTTTTTAGCAATTACTCTATTTATTCCTCCTCTAGTAGCATCCCTTTACCTGTGGCCTTGAGCCCAGACGTCGCACTTCCCATCCAAAGCCATTTCCCACAGAGTGGCTGCGAAACCAGGGCAATCAAGGATGAGCTTCCTGATGAGCCTACTGGAGTGGAAGTTCTCCAAAACATGCTCCTCTTGTGACTCATTTGTCTTGGGCAGGGCTGCCAGGGAAGCTATTGCTTTATGCAAGGCATCCATTCTATCAGCAAAAGATTGCAAGATACCGTCACTTCCACCAACAGCTAGCTGCATCAGAGGAAACAGAATGAGAAAACAAAATATAGTCGCAAGACATCATGTCCTTTTCAGTAATAGATTAAATGATAAAGAACAAACTAATCTTTTTAAGACACTTAATTAATTTTCTTTTTAAAGAGCCTAATAGGGCACTGACGCCAGAAAATAGACCAAGGCATGTCCATGTGAACCACTAATGAACAACAGGATTCACAACATATACAAAATAGGATACATCCATGTCGAGAATCAGGATATCTTTGGGGACATTTATTCTTCTTTCCTGCGGAAGACCAATATCTAGACAAGAGAGTCTTGTTAATGTATGACATTGGGAAAGTCAATGCACACAGAATTGATCCTACAAGCAGGGAGATAGATACCTTGTCTGGAAGCCGTGAACTCATGGGTAAAAACTGTAGACTTCAATTCCAATATCAATTTATTATTATTGTCATAATTGTTCCTTCAGATATAATGTAATACGATTAAGAAAAAACCTAAAGAATCACAACGTCGATCAATTGTTGCTTTGGTAGTAATAACACAATAAACTAATTGCTTTTTTCCATCATAGTTCTATAAATATAAATTGTGAAAGTCAAAGTACTTCCTAATATTTGGAGACTAGAAACAGTAATACAGAACAAAAGGCCATTGGCATGTTAAAACTCCAATGACACATAAACCAGCCAAAGAAAGAACTTGCTGCAAAGAAATTTTAGAGGTTCTCGTAAGCTTTGGGATAAAAAAGCTGACGAGGATCCGCCATTGCTCTGTAGCTATATAAATTTTAAATAGTTTCGAGTTCGTGCGGTAGTACTGTTAACTATAATAGACATGCTTCCTTTCAAATAGTCGATGAACAACCAAAGAGAGAACAGACAAGAATTAATTAAGAATGTCACTTCAGGAAAAGATCACAATGTTCCAATATCGTCTTATGAAAGCTTGAAGATGATATGGGTTATATCAAGTGATTATAATCTTGTCAACCCAAGCTTAATTTTAAATAATAGTCCAGGGGATACATAAATTCACATTATTAAAAGAAAGAAATATAGACTAAAATTAAAAATAAACATCTGTGTAAAAAAATACAAACAAATTAACTGTCGGATGGGATCTGAATCTAGAATTATAATACAGATATCAAGCAGGTCATATGATTATTTTAAATCAATACTGCTTACACAATTTCATATAGTCCCACTGAAAAACTGTAGAAAATAAATTCTAGAATATGAAAACTTCCGTACATTCCATGTTCACATGTGAGAAATTTTACATGATAATTTTCTTTCACATATGCAAACAGACACGGCCATCAATGATAATTCAGCATTTCAGAGGGAAGGAGTATATACACATTTATATTTTTTTATACTTATATTTATCTATATAGGTATGTGTGGAACTTTCCAATGACAAATACATAGTTTCAAACTATTGCAGTATGTAATAGTCTCCAATTTTTGGTACATTAGACCACCGCCTTTCAATAGCAATTTTGTTAATTATGTTTTTAACCAAATCAAATAGAAGATCGGCTAATGAGGGGATACATCAGTAGTTCTACAAAAATGAGAAACTAATAAAATTAATGCAGCAGCTCAGAAGAAAGTGACAGAAAAAGAAC